ATTGATTGTTTTTCCCAATAGTTTTAATGTAACTATTTACACTAATAGTATGGCTATAATACATGGATTTAGCTCTTATATTACCAATAACAATATTTTTATCTGAATATTTAAAAAAGTATCTAATTATACTCTTTGGAAAACAATCAAATATATTGTAGATCTACTTAACCTCAATATTACACTCATTAAAGTAAAAGGACATAGTGGCGATATTTATAATAATATAACAGATTATCTTGCCAGATTAGGAACACAATCACTAGTGATCTTAATCAATTACTTACAAGTTCCTTTTCAGAAACACAATCACCAATGATCTCAATCAACTACTTACAAGTTCCTTCTCTAAATTTATTATTTCAATTTGATGACATTATTATAAAATCCTCAGTAAGGTACTTCATTAAAGACATTTTTGCAGTCTCTAATATTATTGACTTGCATAAAAATGTTGATTTCAAAAGCTTAACATAACAGGAAAGAGTCTATTAGAACACTATATGATCTATCTTTACATTGGATTAGTCTACCTACTCAACTTCTTTTCAACAGAGAAAACTCTATTCGTTCATAATGAAGATTTTTTTAGAAGAGCTACCCACTTTATCTCGTCTAGAAAAATTAAGACCAGATCTTTACAGAAATTGGAACTGCGTAGAATGCAATTTAACTACTGAGACAGCTAATCATTTATGGTTATGTGATGCATATTCATCGAACTCATGACTATCATCTCTGACGTAAATCTCAGATCATAACCTTAATTTCAAAATACTGTTCTCCTTCTCTTTTCTCCTCAATTTCTTTAACAGTAGAGCTATTTCTAAATAAACATTTTGCATATCCATCAGATAGAATCAGTTCCTTTCTACCTATTATTTAAGGAAAATTACCTTTTGTTTTATTTAATGATCTCACAAATCTGATTGGATTTTTCAAAAAAACTAATAGGATTCTTATAACTGCAATCATTGTTTTTTATGAGCAATTATTTACTGAAATTTGGTCATATCATTACTTTTTTATAAATGCCAAAAAATTATCAAAACATATCACTTCTAACATGAAAAATATGAAGAAGAAATATAAACATTTGTCTTATAATAATTGCATAGCACTGACTAATACTTGGGAGTTATAGATTCAACTTGCCCTTACATATGCATATAAGTGAAAGATTTTTAAACTGGTTCTAACATGTTCTTTTTCTTTTCTTGATAAGTTTAGTAGTCATTGGGCTAGTTCCTTTGGATCTAAAGGAGGGAATTGATGATGATAGGTTGACTTAGACGAATAGGTATATTTACATATTCTATTATCAGGAGGTAGCTAACATTTAGTCTAAATTATTAAATAGTTTTTATCTTGTTTTGTTTTCATTACTTGTAATTTCTTTTATTTTCTTCAGAAAAATCTATAAATCTTAATAAAATAGTTGGCAGAACTACATCAAAAAAAAATTTTGAAATAATTATTTTAATGTTTTGTTATTAATAAAAGTTACGTATTTTTTGATTTTTTACATTATTAATTAATATATAAAACTATATTAATTATGCTAGATTTACTATTATTTTAAATATTTAGCAAAATTATTAATAATTTTAAAATATTACAAGATTTTGATAATTAAATAAGACTTATAATACTAAGTAAAGTTGTATATCTGGTAATTTTTTACAATATTACTTATTAAAGAAAATTATTATTATCAGTTATGTGATATGTCTCATATACTGTAATTATTAATAATGTTTCATTAGTTATGTATAAATAATTAGCAATAAAAAATAAAAATGTTCAACTTATTTATAAATAATAAAAAGTTCTTTTTTTAACGACTTCTTTATATAAAATATATAATTTATTATAAAAATTCATATTATATAGCTTAATAGGTATATTTTTTTAAAAGTGTAAATTTAAAGATCTTTTACAATTAATAACTTTAGTTTTTTATATTTATTACAAAAAATATTATTTTTAATATATTAAGCGTATACAGTGAATTTTATACAACAGAGTATTGTAATTTTATTATATCAATAATTAAACATAACTTTTAAATTATTTTAATAAAATTTTTCAAATTTTTATTATAATTAAATTATTTGTAAAATTAAATTTACAAGTTAATGCTAATCTCCAAACCTGTAAAATTTTTAATATAATAAATTCATTAGATTAGAGCCTCACTTGCTTCAAATTTGCAATGTATGGATTAAAGATGGGAACTGTAATTAATATGTTACAACTTTTAATATTGCAACTTACGTTGCAATTAGTTTTAACCTATATATGTTGCAACTAATTTTAGCTTATGTTGCAACATTTTGTAAATTTGAAATCAATTACTGTACCATCTTTAGTATAGATATTTTTAATTATAAGCCACCTAATGCTTTATTCAAAAAAAATCCAATGATCAAAATACCAAAGAAGAAACTAGAAACAAACTCAGATTAGCATTAGTAATGTGAATGGTATTCTTAAAAGAAACCATATTCAACTATGTTTGCAACCTCCTTCTCTACTAAAAAAATATTTGTCATTATGACAAAATAAACAACGTCTTTTTTAGATCCAGGATTTTTCTGTAGATGTAGAATTTTTTAAGCCATGTGGATGTAATTTATTTTGATCACAATTGAAGTGACTTGAGTATACACCTAACAAATTGATGTTTCTAGCTGATTTACTTTAACAATCTCATCAACTGAATTAAAGTCTAATTCCTATATTCTAATAAGTTGTCGAAGTGAATGAAATATTTTATTTGAACAATATACTAACTTTCCATCTATAATATCCACAATTACACATTTACCATCAGATTTACTAGTACTTTTTTCCTTTACTTTATAATCAATCTCTTCATTATCATCTGTTATTGAAGTCATAAAGAATCTACTTCAGATTGAATGTCAAAATCAGATTCCAACCAGTCTACATCATTTTCATCATCTTCAAATTCGCTTGATTTTAATTCTATATATTCTTTAACATTTTTTAATAATTCTTCGTTGAAATCAAGTTCATAATCATATTAGTCAGTTTCAATTGGTGATGCTCAGGATTTAAGCATTTCAGATAAATTGTCTGTATAACTATCATTGTCAAGAAGTTTGTACTTATTATCTGGATCATTATATTTCTTAAGTTTGCTAAAATATGGATGTTAGTCTTTTTCAGTCATTTTTCATTTAACGTAAGACTTCTTGCAACACATAATAAAATAAAAAAGATAGAAAGAAATATAAAAAGATAAGTGAAAATTAAATTAACAATTATATTTAACAAGCCAAAAGTTCTTGGTTATTTTACAGATTTAAAGGTAAGGAAATTAAAAAATTATAAATACTACAATTATTATTACCAGTGCTAAAAATTTATTTTATTTTAAAAGGATGAATTTTTAATTGGATGAAAATATGAGTATTTCTACAAAACTAATTGGTTCAAAATTTTTAAAAACCGTTTAAAAAGTTGGCGAAAGAATCAAAAACTGTGTACGAAAGTAGAGGAAATTAACGTTAAGAGTTAAAATAAAAAAAATAAAAAGACTGACTCCAAATTTTATAATTATATTGCAGTTATGTCACGATTCTTTTCAACTACATACTTTAAGAATCTATATATTATATTATTATATAATATAGGTCAAAAAACTGCCTCTTTGTTATAAAATAAATGAAGAGTAGCTTACATTATTAAAAAGGTATCAACAAGCGAAAGAAAATGATGTATATGAAAAAAATTTTAATTCTGAAATCGTTATAAGTAGATTCTCATATAAGATGCAGTAGCCCCCATCATTTGAGAACATATTCACTGATCATTATATATTAAAATGTTGCGTTAAATTAAAATTCGTTAAATTTTAGCTTAAATTCTTAATTCTGGTAAAATTATAAATCACATGATGACATAATTACGTACTTATTACATTTTTCGAGTTTCGTATTATGTTTTTGGTAAAACAACTACCATGATATGTATATTCTTGATATAGTAAATCTTTAATATTCAATTAATCAAATATGTTAAATATACATTGTTATAATGAACTAACCAATTATAATCTTATAATGAAGTTAAGATTCAAACCCTAAGGTTTATTATCAAGAGTTGACTATAATCTATTATGAACAGAAATTAGCATTTGATATAAAAAAGCTCATATTGAAAAAATAGTAAAAAGCAAAAAATTGTCAAATTGATATTCTTATTGGATTACTTTCTAATTATTCTGAATAAAAAACTGCTATCCAAATTTTACAAGATCAAGAAATTTCTGTATATAATATACTGGTCATAAAAGTGTATAGGGAGTTTGGACTTATAAAAAAATCAATGAAAACCAACAACTTAATATTTTAAATATATTGATTAATATTACAAATACCAAATTATCTTCTATTAAAATAATATTAATATTAATAAAAATCATTCAATGTCACAAACACCTCTTTAAAAAAATTTTTTTAAATATAATTCCTTTAGATAGATTACCAATATTTAATAATTGTACTTTTTCGAATGTTCTTTTTATATCCAAAAAATAGCTTATTGAAATTATTTTATGTATAATTTATGATATATTTTTAATAATTAAATATAATAATAATTTTAATGTTATTAAAATTAATTTTTAATATATGATTGGGAAAAATATCAATAACAGAAATTGATAATTTTAATGTTATAGAATGGGATTTTATAACATTAACTGTTTTAAATTTTAAATATACGAAAATATTTATATTTTTATGACGCTAATCATAACGATCTGATAAGACCGACCAACTATTTGCCGAAGCGATAAATGTAACCCGGGGAAACAGGAATTATGAAATAATCGTCTAAATATGAAAATGATCATCATTGCATCAGCAGATCCGAACTAAAAATAAATTTCGGGTTGTTGAAACGAATTATTTTTTTAAACGAGCAAAAATAAATTTGTAAAATTGAATTTCTATATATTGTCCAAGGGAATGGCGCTTTTTATTGGAAGGTACTGTCAAAAATTCTATGATAAAGTTTGGTCCGTGTTGTTTACCTTCTATTTAAATCTTAGGTTATCATTGGATACTCACCCTCGAGATCTTGAACACATTTTTGACAAATATGGACGTCTTAATCGATTAGAAGTGAAACGAGGATACGCTTTTGTTGAATATCAAGACGAGAGGGATGCATCTGACGCAATGAAAGAAACTGATGGTTTGGTGTGTATATTAAGCTAAAGTATGGACATTCAAAAATGAGGTATTAATTCTAGAAAGTTTTTTTTTTAATTTCGATTAAATTAGCGAGTACGCGGAAATCGTATTGTTGTTGAATGGGCAAAAAATGGTGGGAGAAAACCAGGTAGGTTTTTGAATAAAAGATGTCAAAAAAATGAAATTTCCAATTTGAAATAATCAATGGTTATATCATATTAACAAAAATAATTATTATCTTTGGTTTTTAGCCGAAAATCAGTGCTTTAAATGTGGTAGAGAAGGTAATATCATACTTTGATACTATTTTTTTCGGCATATTAACCTTAATTCTAACATAAAATCTTTAAGGTCATTGGGCAAAAGATTGTCGTTCGAGCCGTAGAGAAAGACGAAGGAGCAAGAGTCCAAGAAAAAGGTTTGTTTTCGTTAAGGTTGTTTTGTGTTAATATTTTTCTTATTTTATATTGCTTTCAAGAAAGACAATTGTTAGGTTTGGGAGAAGTTCAATTTGTTAAATCAGCTAGACCATAGTCAGTGTTCGACGAATCCGTTTTCAACCGTTTGATCAGGCAAAAATTATGTCACATTAGCCGACAGTTATATATAGAAAAACATTTTATAATTCTAAAGAATTGGTGCTTGGGACAGGAGGATGAGCCTACATATTGTATTTGGAATTTAATTGTTCCGCGGGAAGAATTAAATGCTATTCAAAGACTACCAGAGTATCAGTCCGACCAACCTAAGATTATTGAATAATGGTGGTTTAAAACCCTTGTCCGTATCTGAAAGCTCTCGGAAATTTGAATGGTCGAAATAATGAAATCCGTTTCAAAGAATCACCGTCAGCTTTCTTTCCCGCCGAAATGTTCATAAATTTTAATATTTATATGTATAATGTTCAGCGAGATTTAGTTACTCTTTAAACCCTATCTCACTATTCTTTGATCCCGAATAGAAATTGTTAACATAATATTGATATTTTGTAGATCTCGTTCTCGTTCTCGTTCACCTAAACGATCATTAACTCCTGCAAGACGTGATCGTGATGATAGATATTATAGGAGATATTCTGATGATGAGAAAGATAGGAGGCATAGTCATGATGACAGACGATATTCGTAAGTTTATTTCTGAAAATTAATTATTAACAAAGAATTTTAAAAAGTTTTATTGATTAAATATGATAATTTAGTTCGGATAGAACTTCTAGCGAACGAGGTCAAAGTTAATAACAAAAAAAAAACCCCCACCAAAAAAAAAAAAATTTAATAATAATAATAATTACAAATAAAAAGTTAATTATATTCTTTAAATGAGCGTTATATATATACAGTAGTTGCTTCGTTGAACTTAGGTGATAAATTTTTTTTTTTCATTGTTTGTATAAATACTTGATACCATATGATATTATATCAATATAAAATTTTCGATTACATTGAAAATAAATTCCGATATCTGAAAAATAAATTTAGACGACTTGCTCCTTATTTTTGATAACCATGTGCGATAGGTATGTGCATTACAACATTTGATTTCAATTAAAATAATATTATATTTTATATCGAATAATAAATTCTTATCACCCAAAAATTCCAATTAGGTAAAAGACAGTTTTTTTCTATTTTTTTTTTTTTAAAAAAAAAATTATTTGGAAATTTTCTTTTGAAATATCACCAATATTTGTCCTCCAAATTGATAATATCTAAAATAGAAATTTCAATATAAACCATGATAAACAATTGACTAATGTGATTTTTCAAAAAAGGGGAAGATTTAGGTAAATGGAAGAATGATAGTGATTGCAAACTCAAGATCAACAATTATAATACAAATTATAAAACAAATCAAGTGTGTAAATGCACTTGTTAAACAATTAAAAAGGAAGAGAAAGACATTAAAAAGAAGTCTTAAATATTCAAGTTTTCTCGACTTTTTTAAATCGGTGACATCCCACAAACAAAGAAATATTGACTACATATTTAACAAGAAAAAAATAAAAATATAAAAATAAAAATATATAAAATAAAATAAAATAAAAAAAGTCTCTGATTTATTTTACGTAGGAACTCTCATATTTCCATCATTTAATAACGTTTCGATCCAATACAATATAATTTGAAATGAACGCATAGTCCAGCCATCATCAACTACATCATGAGGTAACCAATCACTATACGTAATAGTCCCTTGGTTGGTATCGAGAACAAACACAGATGTAATAATTCCGAAAAGATAGATTACAAGTGTGTATAATGCGAATGTAACTGTGCTGTTGACCACCACATTGTGTTGGCCGACAGTCATATTTTGATTACGCGGGACAAGGGCTTTTGAGGATTGCATATTCGGTTCGATTTTTTCCGACGACTGTGGCTATAATGTAAGAAAGGTGAATAATAAATCAAAAAAAAGGGATTGTAAAAAAAAATTTGCTGAATTCAAGTCATATACCTCTATTTCTGGAACTGGTGCTACAATATTCAATAGAACGTTATCGAATAGTATTGTTAGTACAATTAAGAATAAAAAAGAAGATTTAATGTATTATATTAAATTATTTAATTTAAAATAAATAAAGATTAACCTCGTCGCTTGCTTTTTCTTGGTGATTGACGTGAAAGTTTCGGATGTCTCACTAGATCGGTACTATCACCGTCAACATTATTATTCCTAATTTGTCTATCTCTATCTCTTTTATCATGAGGACTTGGTATATCTCGGTTCCTTAAAATACCTTCAATCAAGGCATATTGAACCCCCAATTCTGAAGATAATATTTGATATTGAGATTCGACATCCCTACCAGAGGTATTTCGTGTAATTCCGTTAATGTCTGTTACTTGACGGCGACTTCGTGATCCACCTTGTTTTCGGTTATTATGGTCGATATCTGTACCACGATATCTGTCTAGTTCACCGGATCGCGAATGCGATTGTTCTTCACTAGCGTTTATATCTAATGTGTCGTTACGCCTTCGTTGAGTCTAGTAATAAATTTAGTCAACATATTTTCTTAGTTTAGCAATTTCTAACAAAAAGAATTCAACTACCTTAATAAGTTGTCGATCTCTTAAATCATCTGTGTTTGAGTCTGAACCACCTTCTTCTATCGACGCAAGTACCTGATTAATCATTTCGGTTTGCAGGTTCTATAATATATCGAAAATATAATTAGAAATTATCATTATATATTTATTTATTTAAAAGGAAAAAGAATGCATAATTTACTACCTCCTTGTTGTTGTTTACGTTTTCCATATCACTGACAACTTCAGATTCAGTAAACCTATATTAAGAATAATATGCTAAAATAAATTCTTATGAAAGTATTTCATAAGGATAAAAAAAGGATATTTTTTATTAACATCTAACACTCTGCTACTTCTTTCCATTTCCTCCAACTCAAGTCTTAATTTATCAATAGTTTCTTTTAAGTGCAGATTCTCATTACTAAGTTCGGCCTCGAGTCTTTGAGCAGCCATTTCCAGTTTCATTAATTTATCTTCCAAACGGTCACGATCATCATTCCACTTTTTTTTAAAAAAATAAATAGATGATGATACATGTTAAGAAATAATATTTAACTAACAAAAAAAAAATAATAATATAATAATAAATATTCATACTGTTGTTTTTTGTTCATGTAATGACTTGAGAGTCCGATGCGTATTGTTCAATTCATCCTCTTTATCTCGTACAAGAATTTTCAAATTTTCGGCTTCATCTGTTAAAAAAAAAGGGGGGTCAATAAATATATTAAAAAAAAAAAAAAAATAGTTAAATAAATGACTTGATTGTACCGCATTGCTCTTCGTATGATTTCTTAAGTTGCTGATAAAGTTGCCTCTGGCTAGTTAAATTCTTTGCTACTTTCTGTATTTCTCCTTCCAACTAAAATATTAGGTTGTAAGAATGAAAATAAAAATGAGACCAATTATCTAAAATTTATCTACTCCTTGAAAATTTAAGAATTTAATAATTGTGATTGGTACAATCAAATTAAGATTTCTTAAAAAGAATTATATTTGTCAAGGAAAATGATCATAAATAAAAATAATATAATATATACTGCAGAAATTTGGTGCAAATTCGTTTTTTCTTTGCTTTTATGATCCTGAATTTCACGTTTTTTAGCATTCAAGTCTGCTTTTGTTTCATCTAATTTGTGTTGTAATTCTTCGATACGATCCTCATGTTGACGGGCTACGGAAGCCAAATGACGTTCAGATTCTTTGAGACGCTTGGTAAGATCAACGGTATGACGATAAAGGCGGCTGAGTTGAATAGCAGGATCGTCATTATTATTCTAAAAATTGTATAAACAGAATTATTTTTCAAATAAATTTCTTAATTATTAATCATTCCTACAAAGTTACATAGTAATCATACACTTGTTATTAAACTAGAAACAGCCTCGTCAATTCCGCCACTCCCCTCAAAAGACTCGACGATTTCTTCCTGAGGATCAAAAGGACTAGCAAAAGATGGAGACATCATGGCAGGTGATTCGTATAATCCAGACGAAGATAAACGTCTGGTACGATTTGGAGGTTTTGAAGCAGTAAAAGAATCTTCTCCCTACGTGAACAAACAAAAAATTATGTTATAAAAAAAAAATAATAATAAAAATAAATGCATATATTGCAATTCAAATTGTCGAAAAAATTGCAATAATACATAATCAGGTTCTTGATGAAAGGCCATAGAGCCATCTCTATTTCCAACTGGTGCATTTGGTCTATTTCGCCAATTCGGCCGAAGTGATCTAAATTTGATTCTTCTAGAACTTGATTCCGAAGAAGCTGTAGGACCAGCTGTAACATTATTATTATTATTATTATTATTAGAAGGGACTGATGGCCGAAGTTTATCTATGAGTTGGATCACATCATCAACATTAACTTCCATATCAGGATTTTGTTCACAGAAGTTCTGAAACGTGGGTCTAGTATCGTCATTTAAAAGACTTTCGGATTGATTCCGTTCGTATTCTTCTATCATAGAAAGGAGATATTTGGTAGCAATTCTCCCACGGCTTTCTTTATCAAAAGCTGCGAAAATTTGCTCCAACTTTGATTTCATAGCATATTTATCTTGTGAAATCTAAAAATAAAATATAAAAATAAATTTATATTTGAAATTATGTCTTTAAAGTAATAATTTATGTTTTATACATTTTATTCCGATTCTTAGTAACTTTTATTTATAACAAAAAAAAAAATAAAAAGCCTTTAAAAACCATATAATTTAAGCTTGATTCAGCAACCAACCTGCTCGGCTTTAGAATCATCAGAACCAGGTTGATACCCGTCCATGTTATGCGGGTTTACTTGATTTTTCGTAACGATGAAATATGTTTATTTGCTTGAATCGTCAAATAAAATTGCTTTTCAACAAGAAGCTTAAAAAAAGGGTATGGTTATTCGTAGAATTAAGGTTGTACTGTAGCTTGGTGTTCGTATGCTATATAATTACGATTATATAAATAGTTAAAAAAGGTGGTGGTATTTATCGAAAAAGGTGGTAGTTTGGGCACTCGTTTAAAATAGAGGTTTATTTTTTTTGTAACTGGTTATTTATGTGTATTTATTAGCAAGTAGGATTGAAGGAAAGAATAAAACGAAAAGTTATTAGTACAAAAAGTTTAAAAAGGTAGGAAGAGGAAAGTGCAGTTGGATGGCATTTAGTCACACAGAGAAGGAAATATTTCTTCTTCCAAAATGTTAAAAAAAAATGATAAAAAGATATGTACGTACGCTAGTGCGGGACCCGCTTAGGGACTCTAATAAATGTTTGAGCGGGATACTTTAAAATATGCTAGTGACAAAAATGCTGAACTCACAAAAATACCACAATCAGAAAAATCTAAATTGACTTGCAGAATTGCCGTCTTCGCAGATTCACCCATTTGAATTATATATTGATCGACTCAAAATCAACTGATGTTACCCTTATCCATTAAAGTATAATTTGTATAATTCGGTATTATTTAAATATTATTTTTGAATAGATGTTAATTATATAAGCTTAAATATTAAATATTTATCTACTATGATGATATTAGAAATTAAATTATAAATTTTAGACTAAAAATTGCATTTTAGTTTTTAAAAAATTATTAGAATGCTTATTTTAAAACATTTTAAAATATGTAATAACCAATCTAACTTTTATTTAATATTTCTAATAAAATTTTAATATGTAGTAGAAAAGGAGAAAATTATAAAATTATATTAGCTTATAAAATAAAATATTAAGCTTCCTCTATTTTTACTGCAAAATGTCTATATTATTAACTTTACTTAATCATTTATAAAACATTTTTTATTTATATTTTAATATTTATTTTATTAATTAAATTATTTTATAATATAAAAATTGTAAAGTTATTATAATAAATATTTATTATTTTATTCTAATTATATAAAAACACATACAATTAAATATATTAAATTTATACTTTAGATTATTGAAATTTATAGGCAAATTTACCTGTTTATTTACTATAAATTATTTTCTAATTTAATTTTATAAATAAATAAAATATGAATATTTCTAATAAAATCACATTACAGATTATATAAATTATTATACCTTATAACTTATTTTTATTGAAAATATTCCTATATTTTAAAAAAAAATTTAAATCAATTTTTAAATATATAATATATTATTCCTTTATTTGTAAAACTTGATAAACACAAAAATTCCAAAATTCAGTTATTATAAAAAAATTTAACAGGTATTACCATCATAACAAATTATATATTTTGAATAACTTAAATTTTGGATTTTATATTTACAATATTTTTTTTTTATTTAAATAAATATAAAAAAAAAGTTTGCTATAAATTAAATTAATTCTATTATTTGTTATTTTTAATTTTTTTCTTTAAAGTTTATAAATTTTTTTTAGAATAAAATTTAACAATACATATCATATCTTAAGAAAAGTTTATCAAACAATTAAAATCATACAATTTTTATTTTAATTAATAATTACAGTTTTAATTTAATATATTATAAAAACTTTAATAAAATATAAAATTTTTTCAAATCATAATATGAAATTTCAAATTAATCAATTATTTTATTATATTAATTTTTGAATCACTTCAAATAATTATTCTAAAAAAGTATAAAAATCTTTAAAATATATTTAATAAGCTTTATTATAATATAATAAAATATTATATTCAATATACTAATAATTTGATTAAAAAGAATTTCAATAAAAGCTATTTTATTACTTTATTTTTTACTAAAAATGCTACCATAAATATGCTTTTCTTTTCGCTTTGTATTCAACATAATGGTTATTACCATTTCAAACATTCGTGATATATTAAAAAATATATTAATATATTCACAATTCAAACTAATATATAACAGTATATTATAATTTATTTGATTATATATTAGTTAATCTTGTTCTAGAACTTAGGTCCTAGTTCTAAAATTTTAAAAATATTTTAAATTTTAAAAAGAAATTTAAACTTATTTTAATAAGTAACTTTAATTA